CTGGATACGATGTAAAGTTTCATGTGCGTGGTTATTACCAATTATAAATTAAAGAATGCTAAAGTATATATTGGGAAGGAGGAAAAGTTACATTTTTCTATTTTAGAAAAAATAGTATTATAACGCAAAATATAGATAACTGTAATATATTAAATAAAGGGAGTGAATTAATAGTTACCTGTAGACAAACCCCAGTACTTACTGAAAAATATACACCGGGCATAACAATAATAGCTGCAGATTCAATGCACGGTGGGATACAACAAATAATTATTTTTAACACACACACACGCACGCACACACACATATATATATATATATATATATATATATATATATGTGTGTGTGTGTGTGTGTGTGTGAAAATATATAGAAAATAGGAAAGAACTGGTTAGGTAAATAATCCAAAGTTCTTTAGTATTTTTGTTATTATTTTTAAAAACTAGTGCTCGATACAAAAGTAGAGCATTAATATAATTATTTATTTAAAAATATGATTCCAACACGCTACATAAGAGTTCTCATGTTTCAAAACATGAGCCGAAAACTTCAATATAATTATTTGAATTAAATTGAATTAAAGTAAGCTCTGTTCCATCTTCAAGCGAAATTTTTTTTGGAATAACTTATTTCTGAAATTTACGTGTTTTAATAGCTGATTCATATATATATATATATATATATATATATGAGATGACGAGATATATTTTGTATATCGATAACAGTATTGAGGAAACTGTAAGACAAAATGGAAAAGTTTATTTGTGACGCGTTTCAGCCGACGAAGTCCTAACCGATAAAATGCGTCACGAAAAAAATTTTTTCCATTTTGTATTATAATTATATATATATATATATATATATATATATATATATATATATGTCTGTGTGTATGTACTGAATGTTTTCTTTTCTGTTATTATTCCATATTGCTATAAACGTGATTTCTTTAGTAGGATTTCTCGATCTAGGCCGGGTGTTATTAATTTTACTGTTTAAGAAAATATAAAATAAAACACGGACTACAACTCAAATATCTGTACCCAATAAAAATAATATAGTAATGACAAGTGACAGGTCAATCTACGAGAGAGCATGGTTCATGTGTTAAATTAAAAACTGTTCCCGCCAAAAAATAATAGTTAGAATGAACTACAACAACCAACCCCAAAATTGAACAAATAGCTTTAATTAAATTCTCAAACCAAAACAAAACTGTTAAATACGTGATATAAACAAAGTTTTACTACGTTAATAAATAAATAAAATAAAAAACAAAAAAATAAAAACGAGCAATATAATTTGACCCAAATAAATAAACAAAGCGACTTCCGGTAAAAATAACCACCATAATAGAATACCCACAATGCACCACTAACCCGTATATATATAAATAGCCGAGAAAAATAACAGCATATGTGGCCTGACGATTGCATATAGCATGAAACAGACTGTCGCCTCTAAGTGTTGGCTTCTATGTTCACTTTTTATATATATATATATATATATATATATATATATATATATATATATATATATTGACATCATTTGGACTGCTGTCCACATCTTTATTGCCATATTCACAATGTTTCGGCCGTTGTATCCTCCGGATATTTTCAGATATTATACTTTGGAATTTCAAACTGAACTCTTTATTTAGTCCATGGCATTGAACTTACAACTCTTTGAGGCAAGTTACTTTTCGGATAATTTTTTTTTTTTTTTTTGATTCAGTGGGAGACAAAATGTTGACGAGTTGAGTTACTAAATGGAATTAACAGAAACTGAGATATTAAAAAAAATCATTTTCATTCAAAATAATCAAAAAATTTTTAGGAATACGTTCTGAAAGCGTCGCCCATGTGACGACAACGTGACCATGCTAAACGGAAAGCTGATCATTTTAAAAATTTTCAGTTATCTGTTTTGGATAAGACCTGTTTTTTATGTCCATCGTCTTTGTCAAATTGAACTGAATTGTATTTTAATGAATATTGTCTTGAAGAAGGTTTATTAAACCGAAACGTCAGACGTCGACATTTCATTCATTTTAAACAACATAATTGCATTTAAGGATTTTTGGTTTGTTTTTTTCCAAATTTTTCTTCATATATATATATATATATATATATATATATATATATATATATATATTAAGCGTTTCACCTCAAGCAAGGCGGGAAGCAACTAGGACGCAAAGGGTTACAGAAAATTTAGAACAAGATCAGATGGGAGTGATAGAAGGAAGGATGAGGAGAAGGGTAGTGGATAGATCAAGGCAACTGGAGATGTCGATTGACATTACATTTGAATAGCTGGAGATTATAGCTCTCGGGGAAACTAGAATAGAGAAGGGAGTTCCACAGGCAAGAGGTGCGAAACATGAAGCTACTGGAGTAGAAGAGACGGCTACATTTAGGAGTTTCGACAGTGAAGGTGTGAGAACGAGAAGCCAGCCTCGTCGGGCGCTTGAACTCATGAAGTCTCTCTCTCTCTCTCTCTCTCTCTCTCTCTCTATATATATATATATATATATATATATATATATATATGAGATGAGGTATTATATACATTATTTGCATTATTCGGACTATTGTCCTCATCTTTGTCGCCTTATTTATTACAACGTTTCGGCCGTTGTACGCAAAATGAGCACTGGTAAAAATGTTTGTTGAAGACATTAGGTTTATAATACCCAGAAATTCATATACAGATGTCCTCAAGGCGTTGGTTAGATCCAGTGACAGGACCCAAAGAGTGTGAGTTCAATACCCTGTTAAGCCAGTGGAGAACTTTCAGAGGGAAATTAGCAGGAGATAACTGATAACAGGCGTTAAACATGGCACGTGGAACTAGAACAGTCTACCCTAGTGAGCCAAATAAAGGGTTAAGTTCGACATTCCAACCACTTGAAGAAGGCCGGAACGTACAACGGCCGAAACGTTGTAATAAATATGGCGACAAAGATGAGGACAATAGTCCGAATAATGTAAATAATATATATATATATATATATATATATATATATATATATATATAAGTATAGGGTTGGTGTATACGGAATAAATTCCAATAACCAACAATTACTATTCTTAAAAGAGTGCTCAATACAGAGTAGAGCAGATATAATTATTTATTTAAAAATTATAACATAAATATGTTATAAAATCACTACAAAAATAGCCATTTTGTTTCAACACCTCCAGTATCTTATCAAGTGATGATATTGAATGTAGAATAAATGGTTTTACAGGTTTCAAATTAATTAACGATCCTTTGCGAGGGGAAAACGCTGTTACATAAGCTAGAATGACCAATCAAAACACAAGTATACGAGAATTCAAAAAACGATGTAAGGTTATAATAGCTATTAAAAACTTTAAAGTTAGGGTTATACTAAAATAGAATTTATTCTAACCAATAAGTATTAAATTATATGATATTATTATACGATTTTTTTATAAAGGGCCGTGGATATATATATATATATATATATATATATATATATATATATATATATAAAAGAATAATCACACATAGAATTAATCAGAAGTATTAATGCGATTATTGTCGACATCCGTCGCTAGAAAACATAATATATGCATTAAAATCCTGTTCATCCATAGTGCGAGTTTTGATCCTTGAAGAAAATGCTGCCTAATGTTTTATGTTTATATATATATATATATATATATATATATATATATATAAGTTTCAAGAATATAATAGTTCAAAACGTAAAGCAAGTATTTTCAGACAGTGCTCAATATTAAAAATATTAAAATAATATTAATATTAAAAACACACAGTTGATAATATTGTATAAATATATAACTTATTAAAAAGCATTATATACATATATAATTCATTCAAATAACAGACACCTTAAAGAATGGATAATACCAAAAATCTTCGAAATTGGGGAAACAACATAAAAAATGATATGTACAGTTAAGTATATATATATATATATGGAAGCACGCTGGAGTAATGAATTGCGACTAAAGTTCGAATTCCAGTTGAATTAATTACATTCTAACGAATCAATACTCTTGTGAAAGGTATGAATCCCCACCCCCAGACTGGGTTCTATAGCCTTGGGTAGTAACCCGTCTAGAAGGACAACTCTAAATTCAAAACCTACTGCGCAGCAGTTCTCTGTATTCGGCTCTTCGAAAAAATATGGTTGGTATCTGTCTATATTTCTGAGATGAAGTATTGTAATTATTTACACTATTTACATTGTTAGGACTGTTGCCCTCATCTTTATTGCCATCTTCACGACGTTTCGGCCGTTGTACGTTATGGTCTACTTCAGGTGATTGGAATTTCAAACTGAACCCTTTATTTCGTCCACCGAGGTAGATTGTTCTAGTTCCACGTCCCATGCCTCTTCCAGATATCTCAATTATCTTCCTTTAACTCAACTCTCCAAGTTTTTGTTGTTACTATATATATATATATATATATATATATATATATAAAGGTAGTGAAGGGTTTGGTAATCCATGTGGATAATTCCAAAGAGGATGTGACCCAGAGAGCTCAATGTAACACTAGAGCAAATATTAATTAAATAATTAAGAAAGAGACAACCTTAAGATTCCATGACTATAATTTATTTCTCCAGAAAATATATTTTTCCTGGTTCATCATTAGGAGTGTGTGTGTGTGTGTGTGTGTGTGTGTGTGTGTGTGCGTGCGTGCGTGAGCGCGTGCGTGTAAGTTTGCAACCTTATGATAAAAACGTATTTCACATGGTAAACTATTTTCAACATAATCTCATCCCTTGTCAAATCACTTAATTCAATGGTGAATATTAATCTCATGAATAGAAAATACACAATGGATACTAGATCAAAATTAAACTAATAACGTCATGTCAAGCTACGGATATTTTGATGCACTATCGTATATATATATATATATATATATATATATATATATATATATATATATAATTGATAGCTCTCGCTACGTTAGTACTTACCGATCTAAAGATCTCATCTTGTCTCTCTCTCTCTTTCTCTCTCTCTTTCTTTCTTTCTTTCTTTCTTTCTTTCTATCCTTTCAGCAACTTCTCATATATTCTCTTTTATCCTTTTCTCTCTGGTCTTATTAACTGCCTCGAATCACCCTCTCTTTTTTCATCTTCTTTTTATCTCTTTCATTCATTCCCTCTTCCCTTCTCTCCTCCGACATACTCCCTCATCTGCCACTTCCTCTTTCGTCCGTGTAAACGCGTGTGAAGAAGGAAATGCACGTGACAGCATCATCATGACTGCGACTATCGCCTTTACCATTACGACGCCAACGACTCTTGATAAACACAGGTAAAAAGGATCGTGGCTCATTCGGTAAAGACATCGCTACTTTTTCCACCCCCAATGCATCCGTTGTTTGATAAGAAGTGAGTTCAAGTTTTAACCTTTCAAGCTCAAAGGTATAGTGATATTCATCCCTTTGATACGTCAGTTCGAAGATTTATAAAAGTTGCAAGACGAAAACGACAGAAGCAATCTGATTGCTATCATTATTAAACAACTTATTTTTCTTTGTATAATAAGAGACGGGTCTTCAAACGTTATTGTTCGACGAAGCCTCTTTTTTTTTTCGGGAGCTTTGATTTAACAACAAGTAATAATAATACATACTCGAAACAGTGAGATACACTAGCATTTATCTCTCTTTAAAATATATACGATAGATTTCATCTCTGGTTTCAATCTTCGTAAATTTTCCAAGAACAAAAACAAAAAACAAATTCTTATCATTCATCAGCAATCATAATCTTTCGTCAGGCAACAATGCGATGATTTTGAACTGATGCCGGAAGAAACGTCATGTAAAATGTGACGTTTTTATTTATTTATTTATTTATTACTTGTTGGGGAGCCAAGAGAATCCCTAGTACAAACATACATCCAGATGCACAGAGGCACATATCCTTTGTAGTTTTAAATTGAAATATTTCTGGTAGAACGGGTAACATCCATAAATTAATTTTCCAGATGTTTTAAAATTTATAATATATTTAAAATATTTCAATGCATAACCATTATGTTAAGAAGCATTGATAAAAAGAAAAAGGAATTGTCAATGGTCAGGAATTGATGCAAAAATGAGTGACTTAACAAGTCTACTATAAACATCGCAGATAAATATTTACTTCATAATGCATTGAAAAATATTTTACTATAGAATTGCTTTGAACGCTATTTTATTCTCGAAAGGCACTGAAAATTATTTTTTTCTGTAAAATGTATTGAGAATAGTGCCTTTAAGCGAAATCCTTCTCGTCATACATTCATCGAAATTTGGGCACCTCGCGTGGGGCAAGGGTTAACAAGATGGTCTCGCTAAAACAGTTACAATTGAATAGTGAGTTCAATACATCAATACATTCCTCAAAATTATCATATCTGCTCAGTTTTTTAGAGCACCCACATACACACACATATATATATATATATAATCCCGCGCCGATAGCACGACTCAGAGTTTCATGCACAACGCAATCTTCAGGTACTGTGTATAGACTGGCTGTTACGTAAGTTAAAATTAAAAAAATATGACTGGTTATGCCAATGTTCGCGCAATTTGGTGCAATTTGTTTATTTCCTACGAAACGAAGTGGATTAAATTATTTAAATTTAAGGAATTTTTTCCAAATCATATAGAGGTAAAAGTTATAGAATCTTCTTGCAATTTAAATTTCTAAAAGAAATATTAGCACAAGTCTAGATATGCAAATTAGTCTGCCATTAAAAGATAGTGCTTGAAAAAACATTAACGAGCTGTTGAACTTTAATTGGTAGAAAACATGGCTTCATCAAGAGAACTGTCATCTGAAATACAGGAAATAAATACAAAAACCCTACAGGTAGGAAAGTCATCACAGTGTGGCGAAAGATGGGGGTTGCTTCCAGCCAGCTACGTCTAAAATTTAATGCTAACTGATAAGGTTAACCAAAAGCAAGTATACGGGACGGCTAGACTGTGGAGATTTGCTAAGATATTCTTCGTTTGTATTTACAAGAAATTTTGGAATAAAATGAACTGACTCAAGGGTATAAAATAAATAATATATATTTATTTGATTCAGAGTGGAATGAGTCCTTTGGTATTCGGTCAGGCAAAAGTTGGTTTATAATGCATTTCTTGGTAACAGTTTGAGGAGAGTTCATTTCGGTCAGGTCGTGGTTAGTCTGTAAAGCCAGAACTTGATAGCAGTAGTCATGTTAGAAATAGGTCAGTGTCCATCTACTGTGTTTTTCCGGCTCTAAGAAAGGCAGAAAATATTAGCAGATCACCTCTTAATTATTCCACGTGCCACGCATGGCTGGTTTCTCTGGCGGTCGTGTTTCTTGTTCCGCGGTTTCTCTTATTGTCCCTTCTCCTCGTCTAACTCCGTGAGTTTATATCCTTTTGACGAGGCTCCCAGACTCTGGCGCGAACCTTGCTTTCGGCTAACATCAAAAGTCTCTTTGTTTTAATATTTTGATTGACCAAAATTATTTTATTTTCCGGGGTTCTTTTTTTTTTTTTTCATTTTATTTAATAGCGGTAGTTATGCGTGGAGCCTCCCTGATTTTCGGGTAGATTTTAGACACAAATAAGTAGACTCTGGTCCCGGAAACCTCCGGCGTTTTTTTTCGGGTGGGTTCATTCTTTTCTTCTTCCTCTTTTTATTTGAATGTTGCTTTCTCGTTGGCTGAAAGAGAAGTAGATAGATAGATAGATAGATAGATAGATAGATAGATAGATAGATAGATAGATAGATAAGGTTTTTAATAAACAGAGCGATTGCCTTATTTTAATTTTAATTATTTTTAATTTTATTTATGTATTTTATTTTCATATTTTTTCGGGACTCCCTACAAAACCACGGATTGACTCCGGGTAGACTGCGGGTAGACATAAAATCATCAAAATAATGCAAAATCCCTTCAAAAATGATACAGTAGAACAAAACATGAAAAACAAATTAAATAGGGGATTCAGGAGTTCATAATAGATTGTCGAAAAAATTGTGAAAGAAACAAATGTGATAAAGGTACATTGCAAACATGCTTTTTGCTCTTATTGTACTTTATAAAATAATTATATTACTATTTTTTCCTATTTTAATATCATGATGAATCATAATTCTTAAGTTAACGATTGATTAAGCTCATGGCGAGTTCTACGACAATAAAATATCGGTAAATATGGACAAATGTGCCCACAATAAGTCGTAGTGTCAAAAGAATGTTTTGTTTTTTTTTCTCCATGACACCGCTTTTATAACTACCTTCACTGTTTGGAAATGTTTATTGTTTTAAAAAAGAATTGGAATAAAACCCAAATATAAAATTTATACATTTTTTGTTCTTGAGAATTTACAACAAAAATGTTAAACATTAAACGAGCCGAGAAAGTTGCTTCTGTGTGTGAAAGTTGCTTCTGTGTGTTAAAGTTGCTTCTGTGTGTGAAAGTTGCTTCTGTATGTGCGCACGCGCGTGTTAGACAGTTGAATGACAAAGTGAAAAAATTCTGTGTAAAGCATTTGGTCCTCTAAAAGAAGTTCACTGGACTAAAATAATGTTTTTACTGATGGAAGTAAATATATGTGAAGGGATTTATAAACGTAAAAGTATAGACCGAGTGGAAACCCTGAAGAAACGCTTATTTTAAAATATTTTATGTTTTAGAATTTTTTGTTAGAGGACGGAGCGCGTTTTTTAGAGGGCGAAACGCATTACTCAGAATGTTTCCCCTTATCATTTACTTACCTAACATTGTTCTGATATAAAGAAGTTTATATATATATTCTCCCTAGCATATATATATATAGATAGCTTCAAAGTTTCGCTAAAAATTGAGCATACATGATGGAAAAATTTCACAAACTTATCGCCAAAAGTTTTCTTTTTAGAATCTTCGCAATTTTGGTTAAAATCTTGTTTTTCTGGCATTACCGGGGGGCCATAAAGTTGTATTGAGAATTTGAACGTCATTTTTGGTCAAAAAACATTGATTTGTAAATTCTTGTAAAATTAGTTGTTGGATTTTAATGAAACTTTCAGGACATTCACAAATGAATAAAATTAATTTTGAAATGTTTCTTTGTAGAAAATCTTGGTTAAACTTTTTTTTTTACATTAGTTACTACCCAATTATGTAAGAAAATTTCGCGAAATTCTTTTTTGTAGCAGTTAATGTTTATATTAGTTATAAGGACAAGTCATAGGAGAATTTAAATCATCAAACTTTTTAGTGAAACAGGGCCCCTAGTTACAGATAATCTGCTCGGAATATTAAAATAAAAAATTCCATAAAACTAAGTTATTATCTAATTAGAAATGCTTTTAATTATTTCTAAATATAAAATATATTATGGCCACTATTGTCTTGAGAAAAAATCCAAAAAACATGTTAAAAATCTGTATTAATTTATATCAGTCAAGTGACAGTGTTATTAAGTAAAAACTATATTTTCTAATTATCAGTATGTATCATTACTACAATTTATCAACCCCTAGTTTTTAAAAAGAAAATCAATTTTTTTTGTATGTGTATAAACGTTCCGGTTTTTTAAATACAGACGTGCATACACAATATTAAAAGAAAATAATAGTGGTAAGTATAGTAAATTTAAAATTAATTTGTAAATTTCTAATGTCCTCAACATGCGTTTTTGTAAGTAAAACTATAAAGCCAATATGCCTAAAATTGAATAGAATATAAGGATGCTTTTAAGTTTACTGGACAATTAAAAAAATTATTTAAAAAAATAGGCGTTTACGTTGTATTCTTCATATAATTTTATATCAATTACGTCCACCTTAAATAAATTTCCCAAAAGTCAGTTTATCGATAAATCTGTCTACACCTCATAAAAACACAGACCTCTGTGTTAAAATTATGAAAGTTTTTTTTTAATAAAGTGAATTATATTATTTTATTATTTTTCAATACAGACAATTTTATCGATTTTTCAGGTAACCAGAAAAAATAATTCCAATTAGCATAATTTCTATTTAAAAACAGCAAAGTATTTTCCTTATTGGAAATATTAAATTTAATCTATTAGCTTGAAATTAAAACTAAAATAAAAGCTTTTATTTTATATAAGCTCCCTTTCGTAGGTTGAGCACTTTGGAAGAAAGGGAATTTGCCGTCTGCCTTGATTAATGCTAAAAGCTCTTTGTTATGAATTGAGCACTCTGGTAGCTGGTAATTTTTATATCTCGTATATATTCAGTTAAAAATGTTTTTTCTTTATTATTATTATTATTATTATTATTCATTGATGGCCTACGGTTGAGACTTTCTGACTGATGTTAAATCG